GCTCCTCGACTACGATGGCTCGGTCCTGCCGTTCCTCGGGGGGCTGGGCGGCGGGTACCAGCGGACCCTGGTGCTGCTCACCTGGGTGCCGGCCCTCTTCATCGGCTTCAGCAAGTTCTCGGACTCCTTCCTCCTGGACCAGCCCGACTTCTGGTGCCGGGAGGCGGACGGGCAGGGTAACTGGAGCGGGTCGCTGGCCCCTGGCCACGCCAACCGCAGCGGCAATGGCAGCATCTTCCCCCCGCCGACCGGGCTGCCCACCCCACCGGGGGTCAACGCCAGCGAGTGCGACTGCCACGAGTGGCACTACCGCATCAGAGCCGGCCTCGTCCAAAATGTGGTGAGCAAGGTAAGAAAGGCGGCTGCCCTCACCCCCCACACCTTCCACCCCCCCCATCCAGCCCTCACAGCCCCCCTCGGCCCTGGCCTGACCCCACTCAGCACCCCCGCTTCCCAAGCCAAGGGGAGCAGCAGGACACGATGCTGATCTCTCCGGGGTGGGCAGATGCCCCATGAGTTGTCTCCCTGCCACCACATTCCCGGAATCCTTTCCCTCCCTGGGTGTCACGCCGGGTGTCCGTCTCGTGGCTTTGTACCCGGGTGCTGGTTGCAGCGCTGAGCTGAGAAGTTCTGTCCCAAAATGGGATCCCGGGTGGCTTTTTCGGGATCCCGATGACGGCAGCTGTCCTGCCACCTCGGGACGCAGGTGGAAAGAGGCTGCAGGTGAATGTCACCAGCTCGTGAGGGGAAGGGGTTGTGGAGAAGGCTGCAGTTGTGGTATTGCTCATCTTTGTGTGAGTATTGTCTAAAAACCAGGTTGATTTTGGGGGAAGCTGATGAGGCAATCACCGTTGGGAGGAAAATGAGACAAAGTTCTGCTGAATTCTCCTTGTTTTATACTTACTCCCTTGATAGGTGCTTTGGTAGAGCAATGAAAGAAGAAATATCTCACACAAGTTGTTGTACTCCGGAGGCAGAAAGCACATGCTGCTCTGTTTTGTGTTTCCTAATGGAATGGCTAAGGTGGAAAATTTCTAGCGAGGAGGGCTGCGCCGCGCTCTGCTCTTACTTCATATCTGCTGAGTAGCGCATGCAAAAAAAACCCGCTTTGTCTTTTCACCTGAAAGCTTTTGGCTTGATTGTGGTACCGGCCCTGCCGGCTGTGGATGGGCCTCGTTGGTGTAAACAGGCAACTGGAGCTCTTGGAACTGTAAAATGAAACTGTTATATGAGGAAAGTAGTTCCCTTAATCTCAAGACCCTCCCCTCAGATCAGCAAAATTTACTTCCTGCCCGGGAGCAGTGTTTTGGATTAACTGCGCTTATCTAGTTGGGAGAAAGAAACACAGCAATAATCAGATGACCAGCATGATTGTGCTTTGGTCAGTCACCACGCGTTCGTATTTAATCATTGAAAATCACTTCAGTTTCTCTTTGTGTCCCTTGAAAGTGAGTGCAACAAGGAAAAAGCGGGTAAAGCAAATCCATAAATACCTTGAACCCAGAATGGATTAAAAAAAAAAAAGGCAACCCAAACCCAGTTACACTCCTTCCATGAGAAAAACACAGGCACATGGTGGACTTGAATGGTTTGTGATGTAGAAGTGCATAATGAAATCTGACATTTAAGAGAGGCAGATTTTCATCTGTTTATAACCAGAGACTGGGCTATTCATATGTTGTAGGGTTTAACACTGATGCTTAAGCACGAAAGAAAAAATATCTTTAAACAGTCTTTTTAGTGAAAGCTGTAAAAAAATACATTTTTTTGAAATGCTTGAATCTTTTGAAGGTCATCATCAGGTTGGCCACAAAAGGTTGAGGGAGAGTTAATTTGCTATCTTGCATGCTTCTTTAAAAATAATAAAAAGTGTTCTTTGGAAGAACTCGCAGTAAAGGGCAGATCAATTTTAAGGGATAAATAAACAGCTGTGGTCCCTGCTGTCTTGTTTTCTATTAAAAAGAATAATAACCGTCTTTTGAGACTATGGGTTTTTCCAGTGTGGAGTTTTTAATTTTTGTTGTGTGCTCACTTCCAAAAACTTGGCAGCTTTTTTGCTTTGATTTGTAATCCCATGTAATTATAATTAGGTTGTTTTCTCGGGGTGGGGATTCCTCCTTAGTTTGTGCTTTGGTTTTGTTTTGGGGGTTTTCTGGGTGGGCGTGCTGTCTGTTTTTATCCTAATAAAGAAAAAGAGGAAAAACCCAGGCAGAGCATCAGTGTAGCTTAATTCAGACTTCCTTTCATATAAACCCACAGGAGCTCTGATACTGTGGGAACAATTCTTGTAACTGCTGACTCCTTTTACACGAATCCCACTGTCCTTTGTGAGAGAGAGCTGCCCTGGATGAATTCAGAAGACTGGATGTTCAGATCTCCCTTAACTCCCCTCAAAAATACATTTGTTTCTGTAACGTATTATGCAATGTTCTCATCTTTCTAAATAGAGTTTTATTAAATCTTAGTCTAATATACGCTCATCTGTGTAGTAGCCAGGGGTTATATTGAAATATCATAAAGAGAGCCAAAAGTATATTAATAAAAAATGCACTTTTGTTTGGCCGGTAAATCCCCTTGTTCTCATCAACAGCGGTCCAGGCTAATCTCTGCTGGGTGCTCCATTGCTGCTTGGACTTCAGAAACAATGAAACAATTGGGGTTATTTAGCGTGAAGCATATTCCCTGCTCTGTGTTTTGGTGATGCACATGTACATGGGGTGTCACTGTCCCCCATCAGGACCGGACAGCTGTCCTTAGACTACGTTCAGTTTCACTGTCTCTGTAGCCTCTCTCCTAATGGTACCTTTCATCAGATGTTGTCTCTCTCTCTTTCTTAGTTCTCCCACCTCTGGTGCCCATTTTCTCCTAGCCTGTGTCATGCTCGGGATTGACGGAGTGGAGATCTTGCTGTTTCCAGCCCTGCTCTGTGCTATGTTTAGCACCTCTTCTCTTTTGAGTCTTTGCTGGAGCCAGAGGTGGCCTTGCACCTTCCTTGAAAAGAGTGACAGTGCCACGATAGGCGCTGCCATTACCCTGACCTCTTCAACTGAGTCACTGGGAACGGTGCTTTTTATAGTGCTGCCAGTCATTAGAACTGGAAATGATAATAAAGGACATACTGCTGATTATTTAACACTGTTAAGATACATATAGCAAAGAGGTCAGATGCATAATTTAACCACAAGGATTCCAGTGGCCGTATTAAATCACCCATCTGAGCTAATGTCCTGACTTGGTACATAAATCTTGGACTTGGTTTGTACACTAATATTTTCCTTTAGGACAATTCACTTGTAAGCCTTTTTCACTGCTAAATGCTTCTTTGAGGATTTTAATCTATTCTTAATCACACCATCACCATTATTACACTGCTATAAACACATGTATTGTTTGTGAGAGATGTACCCTGAACTAGCCTTTAGGCAAAAGGCTAGTAAAAAAAATAAATCTGTCTTATAAATGATCCATGAATCTTACCACTGTCCCAAGGAAGAACACTGAGAAATACTCTTTTTTTTTTTTTTTTTTTCCATAGGGAAACCTGAGGTCTCGTTTTACCCATCTGTAAAGTGATGCTTCCAATAAATCATTAGCACTTAATGCAATAAGCAACTTAATGACAACTAAATACGCATAGTGGTGAAGCCTAGCAGGAAGTTGAGGTGTGTACTCAGCAGGGACTTTTCTAACTCTCTCGTTAACTTCTGTAGTGCCTGCATCTTCTGACCATCTGCAAAGCCAGCTGTAATCTTGGGGCAAAGTTTTCACGGAAGCTCCTGGTTACAGGACTGATGGTTGTTGTTTTTCCCCCGTTACTAGGATGACCTGTCTGCTGTGTGCGATTGCATTACGTGGTGGGAACTGTTTGTTGTTCCAAATGCTAATTTGTATAATGGACACCGAAAGCTGACAATGGGCAAGGACCGAGGCTTGATTAAATTGCAGCGGTTGATGGCACAGCATCCCTCTGTGCATCCCCGCAGCGTTCCAGATCGTTCCACCTCTTGGGGATGGCCTAGAGGGAAGTGGTTAGTTGAAGGCTGCGTTTTAATCACCCAGAGCAATTATGTAATAATATTTCATGTCTAGTCACCAGGGAATTCCTGTTGTGGCTGCTTTTCTGCTCCAGATGCCTTGTTTTGCTGCAGTGCTGTTCTCTTGGCTCTCAACTTCCCACTTGAATTAGGTTGAGTCATCTTCTTTCCCAAGTAACGTGCCATCATTTTACCTATTTGCCACTGGTTCGATCGTTTTCATGCCAATTTCTGAGCTGAGCTTCTAGCAAAGTGATGCTTAATTCAGGAGAGCCAAATGGTCCAGGGGCAGGGCTGCCATGTAGGGAACACTGAGCATTGCTGTCTTGGTGTGAACTTGGATCAGTTCTGGCTGGGATGTGATTCCCTTTGCCCCTTGCAAAAGGGAATGTCTGTGTCCTACCAGCCTTTCTTTCCCTTGCTTTTTTGGCAGTTCTGGCACTTTTTTGAGCATGTCTTCAGCTGATTTAATTTGATAACCTGGTAGAAAACGTTCTCCTTAAATACATTTTTTTTATTATTATTTTTCCTGTGTTTTCTGCTAGGTTAATGAAGTGAAATGGCTCTGTGCAGTGCCATGTGCCCTAGACTGTGGTATTGTCTCACGGGATTATTGCAAGTAGCCAAAAATGCTATAGCAAACAAAGAAACCTGTGTGTGATAACAGTGATGACACATTTGGAACTGCTTGTAGGGTAGGAGACAGGTGTGAATTTCAAGTGGACTTTCAGAGTATAGTTGTTAATTAATTCAAAAGGGATCATTCTGATAAGGTCCTTCCCCAAATAAGAGCTGTGCCACCCTTTCCAGGCACAAATGGGAGGAGGTCTCTCATTCATTTCTGCATGTCCTCCACTTGGCTGTTCTCTGCAGAGAGACTCTGGAAATGCTGATGCATTTTTCCTGCAACTGCCAGGATTTGTCTTGTCAGTGTTGGTTCGTGGCTGACTGGCTTCTGTGTGGTCCCAAATCAATGAAAGCCTCGAGTTATTGTACCCAGTGCGGTAGTTGGGTCAGAAGTGGCAAGATCTAAGCTAGTATATTACCAATATCAACCCCGTACTGCTGTATGGATTGAAGGGGCATAGGGACCTGCAAGGCAGGTACTTGCTGTGGGTAGAAAGACTATTCTCAATTGTTCTCAGTAGGGGCTTTGAGATGACTCTCTGCTCCTAATGGATGCTGAAGGGGTCAACAAGTCCTTGCGGTCTGAGGTAGCCAGAAGTGCTGGCAGACCACAGTAAACTTCTACCACTATTTTTTTATGGCTTCCTTAGCTATAGGAGAGATATGAAACATTTCCCCCCTCCCCCCA